CCCCAAAACCCCAAAACCCCAAAACCCCAAAACCCCAAAATTTAAAATTTAAATTGAAGATGAAAAATGTGCCAAATGGACTCCCCTCTTCCCTCAAGAAAGGTAATTACTGATAGTGACATATAGAGTTGGAGATGAGAAAGAAGGATGACTTCATCCTACAAGATAATTCCAGTCAGTCATTACACAAATAGTAAGTCCTACTCAAACCCTCTAATTTGGGATTATTCCTTATAACAATTATTACAGCAAAGAAAATGAAGATATTCAATGGGAACTTGATAACTCCAATGAAGAGGTTGACCTCAGCTTAAGTAAAGATGCTGATAACAGTAACGATGTATCCGGGTATGAACACCAGGATACTAGTAATCAATCCTCGCATAATTTATTCAATAATTCTCGATCTTTCTCCAGGACTGGAATGGATTACAGGACTTGGCTCCAGCAAAGGAAAAAGCAAGATCAAGAAGATATTTCTGAAGATGCCCTTGGCTCTAAATTTGAACTAACAAGGAAAACTAATTCAACTATTTTAGAAGAAAGTTCTAAAGCTGAAGATGATGATTCGGTTATTGAAAAGCCTACTCACCGTCAAAAGAAAAGCAATACAATAAATCCTATGCTTCTCTTGACTACAAGTGATCAAACTTCTGTAAGAAATCCTTCTTCAAGGGATCTTGCAAAAGAGAAGGATTCTAGCTCCCATATTGACCAAACTCAAAATAGCTTTGGGAAAAAATACCTTAATATGTCTTCATTCAGGTCTTCTAATGCAAGCGGTATTCTAGATTTGCTTAATATTTAGGAATCCAAAGTGCATATCTAGCTCAGAATAGCAAATATAATAGTGACCAAACTTATCAGAGTAATAGCCAAGCTATAAGTTATCAAAATGGAACTCATTCTTCTGGGATTAGCCAAGAGGATGCCCCATCTCAGACCTCAAATATAAATGGAAAGCTTAAGAACACAATACATTGACATTACAACATTGGGAATATGAGTGATCACTCTACTTCTGATATGGTCATGCATACATCAAGTGATGCTAGACCAGAGCACACACGAAGCGGAGAAAGTTTAATGAATATCCATACACAAAGTTTTGGAGCTACTGATAATAATGAAGAAATTAACACTTTGCAAGCTATTAAGCAAACTACTTTCGGAAGAATCAACCATGATTCACAAGAGTTTTCGAACATTAGCAATAGTTTTGTGCCTTATGGAATGCAAACTAACGATCAATATTCAACCCTCCAAGGAAATAACTTCCAATATGCAGACAATAGTCAGAACTTCTACAGTGAAACTTCAAGATTTTCAAACCCGAATCAATCAAATTACTCATCACAAATCTCTCACCTAAGCGGGCCGTATTCTTTAGAGGATAATGAGTCACAACTTCTTCAAAATAATCAGGAAAATTACAACTCAATGAACATGAGTCCTCAGTATCAGCCCTTCAACCAGAGATTTATTGTTAAAGAGCAGATAAGAATGAGAGAGCCTGCCATTCAAAGCAAGAAATTTGATTACCAGCCGCCTCAGCTACCTCCAAACCCAGGAGAGAGTTTCAAAATGACTTATTACAACCAGAGTAAGAACATTACCACTAAGATGAGAGAACGCGTAATGAAAATGATTGAAGAGAAGAATGCTAACACAGAGCCTGAGCTTAGCAGCAGGAATAGCTGCTTTAAACCCCCTGTTAAAGGAAAGAGCCGAAATTTGATGAAACAGCCCTCATTATTCTCATTCTCTAACACAAGTTGTGAGGTAGCGAATAATAGTAAAGAAAATGTCTCAAAGAAGCCAAAGCAGAAGAAAACAGATCGGGTATTCCAGTCTTTCTCTTATAAGAAAAGGGAGCCGAAATATTCAGAAATGGTGTAAGCTCATATTCCTTTATAATTTAGGAAGAATTATGGAACTCAGAGATCAAAAGTAGGTAATTTCAAAAACTCAGGAGGATCCGTAAAGCGTTCTAAAGGAGTAAATATCAGTCTGAATAACTCAATGGCCAGATCAGAGAGAAGTTCAAATACTAAAAGACCGAAATCTGAATCTAAGAACAAACCGAAATTTAAAGAACTTGGAATTCTCAAGCGGAATCAAGATTGGCTTGCTTGTAAAGAAAGAAAATTAACTGCTGAAAGAGCGAAGAAGAAGGCTCATGAAACTGATGGATGCACTTTTGAGCCAAAGATTAATAAATACAAAAGCAAGAATAATCTTAAGCTTAGCTCAAGGACTAGTACAAGTGTTGGGGCTAAAACTAACAGATCGTATTCGGAGATTCATAGGAACAAGTATAGCAAAGCAGGTTCCATGAATACCTCAATGAGAAGTGAAACATGTAAGTCTACCACAAGAGAAGAGGTCAAAATGCTTGATCTTTCTTTGAGAGATTACCGGGAGGAAAAATTTGATCCAAAGTTTAACACTGTATCTCTTGAACCAATTCTTCCTGATGCTAATCTAAATACTTTAGAAAATAGGTAAGACTAGTTCTAATTTTCTAGCTGAATTGAACCAAAGACACAGACCTATGACTCATCATATGAGTCTCTCATTCTTAACAAGTCATATACTCATCAGAAAAAGGAAAAGAAGATGAATACACCAGCAATACCAAAGCTCCCACCAAGGTTCATCAAGAAGAAGCTAGATCCTAAAAGAAAGAACAAAGTAATCAATCTTGGGCATCTACAAAAGCAACTAAGTGAGAGATCTTTAAGTCGAGATTCTAAAAATGGCCAAAAAGAGCCAATTAGGCAAGAATACATGAGCCAATCTCAAGAACAAACAGGATTTAAATCTTTTAATAATGGTGAACAGGCCACAATATTTGAGCAAGAAAGGAAATCTCCCTCCTTCGCACCTGATATTGATGCTCAAGGGAATTATGAGCATAATCCTCATCTTGAAGCAAGCTATACATCAGTCAGTCAGATGACTACAGAGTAGGACCCACTGTTATCTTATCATATAGAAGTGCTATTGTCAATAGGCTCCAAGAAGAAATACTCAATAGTAACGCTAGGACTTCTAGGAGAGGTCGCTATATCACCAGGAAGGAAAGGCTTAACAGTAAGGCTTGATTTTACATATAGACCGTCTTGTTGACATCAGCAATACCTCTACAGAATATGACCTTGATCAGTACAAACATAGGCTTGAAGAATCCAAAAAGATGGTTGAAAGATTAAGGACTAAAAATACTTGATAATCTTCATAGAAGAACTTGTTTCAACTAACAATTCAATATATTGAATTTCTTTGGGGTTTTGGGGTTTTGGGGTTTTGGGGTTTTGGGG